TGGAAGCTGGAACTTTTGACCCCGGTTGCACCCCACCAGTGTTCACTGTGAAGAAATTTATTCAAGTCCAATTACAGTCCACAAATGAATAAGAATTGTAACTATATTGTAATTTATTTGTAAAACAGCTCCGAGTATAAAGTGATCTGATGAAGCATTGAGGGAAACAGATTGTTTACCTGGGAAATCTGTAGTCGCATGACAATTGTTGGAAGCAGCAGCAGCAGCACTGCATGACGTATAATAAAGAAACAAAAAGAAGCAGCAGCAAATTTGTGGACTGTCATTGGACTTGAATCAATTTTTTCACAGTGAATATTGGTGGGGTGCAACCTTGACTGAGTCACTGTGGTCCATTTGTGGCTAGAACCTTTGACCCCGGCAATATTTTACTGGGGTCTTCTGGGGAATGGCTGGTTTGGGGGGAGTTACAGAAGTATGTGAGTCATGTAAGGAAGCCGATAGCCATTTATGAACTGTTCCGGAGCCGTCTGTTTTTCTCTGCCCACTCTCTCTTGCAGGGTGCAATGCTGACCGGCCCTCCAGGCACAGGGAAAACCCTCTTGGCCAAAGCTACTGCTGGGGAAGCCAACGTCCCCTTCATCACAGTGAATGGCTCCGAGTTCCTGGAGATGTTTGTTGGCGTTGGGCCTGCTAGGGTGAGCTTGAAGGGTCCCGTAAACTGCTCCGCACTGCCAGGCAGGAGCCCATGGGAAAGAGGCTGAGAGACCCTGGCTAGCAGGATGAGGCTTCAGTCTCGGCCTAAACAGATACCCTGATGTTGCTGAGGTGTCTGTGACTAGCCCCAGGTCTGGGGGAGACTCACAGCTGCTTGGCTGGCTGCCTGTCTCCAGAACTTTGCTGCCACTGCCGCTGCCACCACTCCCACTGTGAGCTTGCTGCCCCTTCCTCACATTTGTCCTCATAGTTTTAGTAATCTGCCCGTTGGCCCCATTGTTCTGAATCCTACTCCTCCTGCTGTCGACGTTCATCTTTTGCACCTCTCATCTGATCCTGTTGTCAGTCTGATCCTTCCACCCCTCCTTGTGTGGCTCAGATTCTGGGACCGGTTCCTGTGAAACCTACCCATGAGCTGGACCTTCTTTGTTCACATCACCTTGACTATCCCATAATATTTATGGCCCCCACTCCTGCCCCAGTTAAGAACATAAGAACATAAGAGATGCCAGTGTTGGATCAGGCCAAAGGCCCATCCAGTCCAACACTCTGTATCACACAGTGGCCAGAAATACCAGGTGCCATCAGGAGGTCCAGCAGTGGGGCCAGGACACTAGGAGCCCTCCCACTGTCGACCCCCCCAAGCACCAAGAAGACAGAGCATCACTTGCCCCAGAGCCCCTATCTATACCTTGTGGCTAATAGCCACTGATGGACCTCTGCTCCATATGCTTATCTAATTCCCTTTTGAAGCCGTCCATGCTTGTAGCCGCCACCACTTCCTGTGGCAGTGAATTCCAAGTGTTAATCACTCTTTGGGTGAAGAAGTACTTCCTTTTATCCGTTCTAACCCGACCGCTCAGCAATTTAATGGAGTGCCCACTTGAGTTCTCGTATTGTGAGAAAGGGAGAAAAGTACCTCTTTCTCTACCTGCTCTTTCCCATGCATAATCTTATAAACCTCAATCATGTCACCCCTCAGTCGTTGTTTCTCCAAGCTAAAGAGCCCTAAGTGCCTTAACCTTTCCTCATAGGGAAAGTGTTCTATTGGTAAGAACATAAGAGAACCCAATGTTGGATCAAGCCAATGGCCCATCCAGGCCAACACCCTGTGTCACACAGTGGCCAAAAATACCAGGTGCCCTCAGGAGGTCCAGCAGTGGGGCCAAGACACTAGAAGCCCTCCCACTTGCCCCCCTGAAGCACCAAGAATACAGAGCCTCACTTGCCCCAGCCTGAGGCGTATTTCTTTTCCCAGGCCTGGCTTTGTACATTAATATTTCTAGAGTGTTGGGGTTTTTTAGATGCAAACATGGTTCTCTGGGCTGTTGTAGCTCTGCAGCACTATCTCCAAATGACCCACTGTGGTGCTTTAAGATCAACCAAGAGCGTTCTCTGAAATTCAAGCAAAGATGTGCAGCAGAGTATATTTGGGGGCAACTGTGCAACTCTTTAACTCCTTTCTGCTTAAGATTTACCAGAGTCTGAGCATCTTGGTGTAGCGGTTAAGAGTGGCAGGACTCTAATCTGGAGACCTGGGTTTGGTTCCCCACTCCTCCTCCACATGAAGCCAGCTGGGTGACCTTGGGTCACTCACAGTTCTCTCAGAGCTCTCAGCCTCACCTACCTCACAGGGTGTCTGTTGTGGGGAGAGGAAGAGAAGGAGATTGTAAGCCACTCTGAGACTCCTTCGGGTAGTGAAAAGCACGGAATAAAAGCCAACTCTCCTTCCATGGGTAACCAGAGAGTTTCCCGTCTGGACAGTTCTTTTGCTGCAGGAGATAAGGGGGCTTGTTTTAGCAGAATTTTTTTTAAAAAAAGGTTTTACTGTAATGATCTCTCAGCAAAGCAGATATTCTGAATTTTTCTGGGAAATGCAGATATGAAGGCAGATACGTTAAAGGCACCCACGTGAGCACAGATGTTTGGTTCGTCACTGGGCCTTCTGATCTCCCTTTGCTTTGTGTGCAGGGTTCAACAGCAGCACAAACGTGGTGGTGCTTGCAGGCACCAACCGCCCTGATGTCCTAGACCCGGCGTTGATGAGACCAGGACGCTTTGACCGGCAGATTTATATCGGTAATGACAGCCATGCCTGGTGCTGAAAAGCTCTGGCCCCGGCATTGCCCCTCTTCATTCCCAATGCACAGTGGTCAAGGAGGAGCCTCTTCCATTGCCCACTGGCTCCTTGTGGAAGGCTGGCAGTGCCAGGGGGGGCCAGAGCTGAGCTTCGGCATCCTCAGCCAGTCTTCCATGGGTAACCAGAGAGATTCCCGTCTGGACAGTTCTTTTTGCTGCTGGGCTTGTTTTAGCAGAATTTTTTTTTTAAAAAAAATAAGGTTTCACTGTAATGACCTCTCAGAAGGGCTGAACCAGCCAAGCAGATATTCTGAATTTCTCTGGGAAATGCAGATGTGAAGGCAGATACATTAAAGGCCCCCACATGAGCACAGATGTTTGGTTCGTCACTGGCCCTTCTGATCTCGCTTTACTTTGTGTGCAGGCTTCAACAGCAGCACAAACGTGGTGGTGCTTGCAGGCACCAACCGCCCTGATGTCCTAGACCCGGCGTTGATGAGACCAGGACGCTTTGACCGGCAGATTTATATCGGTAATGACAGCCATGCCTGGTGCTGAAAAGCTCTGGCCCCGGCATTGCCCCTCTTCATTCCCAATGCACAGTGGTCAAGGAGGAGCCTCTTCCATTGCCCACTGGCTCCTTGTGGAAGGCTGGCAGTGCCAGGGGGGGCCAGAGCTGAGCTTCGGCATCCTCAGCCAGGCTCCTGATAAACAGATCCGGAGGAAAGAGGCTTATGGGTGGCGCTGAGCCGTGGCAGCTAAACAGATCCTCAGTGTTCAGAGGCAGCATAACTCTTGGGTGCCCCGTGCAGGGGAGCAAGTGAGCTGTTGGTTGCAGGTCCTGTTTAGAGGTGCCAGGCTGGATGAGACCAGGGCTCCATCTGTTCCAGCATCCTATCCTACACAGTAGTCAAGGACCCAAGGCATAGAGTCCGATGGTACCTCCTAGCACTGGTGTTCAGAGGTTCACTACCTTTGGGTATGGAGGTTCACTTCAGTCAGTCACTGTGTCTTTGTTGTTGTTCAGTCGCACAGTGCTTTGACCGGCAGATTTATATCGGTAATGACAGAGCCACGCCTGGTGCTGAAAATGTCTGGCCCCGGCATTGCCCCTCTTCGTTCCCAATGCACAGTGGTCAAGGGGGAGCCTCTTCCATTGCCCGCTGGCTCCTTGTGGAAGGCCGGTAGTGCCAGTGGGGACCAGAGCTGAGCTTCGGCATCCTCAGCCAGGCTCCTGATAAACAGATCCGGAGGAAAGAGGCTTATGGGTGGCGCTGAGCCGTGGCAGCTAAACAGATCCTCAGTGTTCAGAGGCAGCATAACTCTTGGGTGCCCCGTGCAGGGGAGCAAGTGAGCTGTTGGTTGCAGGTCCTGTTTAGAGGTGCCAGGCTGGATGAGACCAGGGGTCCATCTGTTCCAGCATCCTATCCTACACAGTAGTCAAGGACCCAAGGCATAGAGTCCGATGGTACCTCCTAGCACTGGTATTCAGAGGTTCACTGCCTTTGGGTATGGAGGGTCACTTCAATCACTGTGTCTAGTATCCATTAATGGATCTCTCCTCCACGAAGCTATGTCATCCCCTTTTAGAGACGTCTACCTTTCTAGCCATCACCGCATCCACTGGCAGTGAGTTCCACATGTGCAAATGTGCAAGCTCCCTACCCAGAGGGCCTCCAGCTAAGATGCTGCATTCCACTGACCGGTACCTTCCCAAAGCAGTAGCAAGGTTCCGTGTTGGGAATTCCCCGCACCACCTCATTCTGTTGTCTGGTGGGGCTTTCCAAGTGAGAGGCGGTTTCTCAGATCTAGAGGGGGCTGTTGAATGGGAGCGTTACAGGGAGGTGCTGCCCCGCCCTTCCCACCTCTGAGAAGACCTCTCTGGCTGTCTCCCCCCCCCAGGCCCACCAGACATCAAAGGCAGAGCATCTATCTTCAAAGTTCACCTCCGGCCACTCAGACTGGACGCAGACATCAACAGGGACGCTCTGGCTCGAAAGATGGCTGCCCGGACTCCGGGATTCACAGGTGAGATGTGAGAGAAAGACCCAGGGCGAGGTAGGGGGTGCCCGGGGCATGGGAAGAGCAAGCTGCTTTCATGCAGCAGTAGGACTTGTTGTAGTGACAGGCCCCCCACACCTCCTCAGGGGAGCCTTCCTCAGTGCCTCTCTGCTCTTTGCCCGGGCGTCTGGATTGCATCTGGGTGATCTAGGGTGGCTGATGGGCAGGTGATCCTGGCCAGTGTTCCCTCCAAGCTGAGTGAGTGTGAGCCAGTTCACAGTTTCTTAGCCTCCAGCTCACACATTTTTGTCTCCGCTCAGGAAGGAGGGCTCCAGAGCAAACTAATTTATGTAGTAGAATTTTTGCTCTCAAGACTCCACGGCTTAGAGAGAGCATTGATCCTGAGCCACAGCAGGGGAATCGGACTGAATGGCCTTCTGATCCTCCAGTTCTCGGTGATAGCGGAGGAACAGGAGGGCTCCCCTGATTTATCCAGAGCAGGGCCTGTAAGGGGAAAGGGCATTGAATGAGATGCACATGATCCCATGGCATGGGGCGTTCATGCATCTGGCCTGCCTGCCCTTGCAGCGAGTGTCTCTGTTCTCTGAATGCCTTGGCTTCTTCCTGATCCGGGACCTCTTCTTGTAACTCCATGCTTCCAAGTGGAGGGAACGAAGATTCCTCTATCTAGGGGATGGCTTCCTTTCCTTGCTGGCAACTTGCCCTGCCCTGAGCCAGTTCAGGAGGCCAGCCGGCATCCGAGCAACCCTTCCTCTCTCTCTCTCTCTGCAGGTGCCGACATCGCCAATGTTTGCAACGAGGCTGCCCTGATTGCCGCCCGCCTCGCTAGCCCCAGCGTGGACGCCAGGCACTTCGAGCAAGCCGTCGAGAGGGTCATTGGGGGTGAGGGCTCCTCCTGGTCCGTGGGAGCAAGCGGGGTGGTTTGGGGAGGCTGCCCAGTCCCAGGGACGTTTCGTCGAAGCAGCCCGTGTCGGCTTCCGCGGGGGTGTTTGTGCTGGAAGCTTCCTGCCGGTTTGCCAGTTCCTCGACTGCTGAAGCTGTTGCTGCTTTCCTCTTGCTGCCTTTGGCGAGAGCGTCAGCTGGAGCCTTCTGTTTGCTCAGAGCCACCCTGAGCAGAGCTGAGAGGTAGCACGTACCGTGTGGCCAGGGGAAGACGCCTGAACACACACGAAGCTGCCTGATACTGAATCCATCAAAGCCAGAATTGTCTACTCAGACTGGCAGCGGCTCTTCATGCTCTTATGTAGAGTTTTTTCACATCCCCTCGTGCCAGGTCTTTTAACTGGAGATGCTGCCAGGGATTGCACCTGGGCCCTTCTGCCACTGAGCCACAGCCCCGCTCAAATGCCTCCGCCGCTAGGATGGGACCTCCGGAGGGACCAAGCTTTGAAGGATCTGCAGCTGCAGATGCTTTGCTCCGGGACATTGTTAGGAAAAGGGAATTGGAAGAGACGGGTGGTTTCCCTGGGGAGTGGAGGCTGAGCAGCTGGGCAGGCAGACGTCGCTCTGTGGTTTCCAATGCAGGAAAGACAGAAGTCGGCATTCACAACTTCTGCAATTACTGAGGATACTTCAGTGCCTTGGGCTCTAAAGGCCGAATTGTGTGGAGTCTCTGCTGGGCTGGTGTCTTCCTGGGAGTTCTCTGGGGGGTGGGGGGCCTGATCAAGCAGTGGGGCGGGGGCCCTTTCCACACACTCTGTCCATCCTCCCTACTCCTCTCCAGGGCTCGAGAAGAAGACCCAAGTCCTGCAGCTGGACGAGAAGGCCACGGTGGCTTACCATGAGGCCGGTCATGCTGTGGTTGGGTGGTTCTTGGAGCATGCTGATCCCCTGCTGAAGGTGCATTTCTCCCTCCCCCCCCCCCCGGTTTCTAGCTCACCCACAGAGCAAGACGGGGAGGGAAGGGGGGAGGGAGGGAAGGGCAACAGACGCTGCCGGCAAACATGCTCTCAGTGCAACCCCCAAAAAGCTTGTTGTGTGGGAAGACCTCCCCTGGATGTTCCCCGAAGGGCGCTTCAGCTTACCTTGGCTCTGCTTCTGGGTGTGTCTGGCAGGTCTCCATCATCCCCCGGGGGAAAGGACTGGGCTACGCGCAGTACCTGCCCCGGGAGCAGTTCCTCTACACCCGCGAGCAGCTTTTTGACCGCATGTGCATGATGCTGGGCGGCCGTGTTGCCGAGCAGCTGTTCTTCGGCCGTATCACCACCGGTGCCCAGGATGACCTCCGGAAGGTGACCCAGTCTGCCTATGCTCAGGTAAAGGCCAGTGAGGTGAGTCACCTGCCTGAGCGGTCAGGGGCGGGGCGGGGACGGGACAGGGCAGGCAGCCCCAGGAGAGCTCAGAGGTGAGGGGAGCAGAGTTTGTTTTTTCCGCCATGCGCTCCCAGCGTGCCAGCGTAGCCGTTTCGACCCCAGTTTGCTTTCTGCATCGAGTCTTGTGGGAAGCCTGTTGATTCTTGCTCTCGTGGCTACAGCCTAAAGCCTGGGAACAGGCACTGCTGTCTGCAAAAGAACAACTGGATGAGACTGGGGGGAGCCACGATCAAGGCTCCCTCTCAGCTGGGGAGTCTTGTGAGCAAAAATCCTACTTTGTGAGCTACGGGCATTAAAAGTTGTGAGCGAGCGATTCGGCTGCTGTATAAACTAGGTTGCTCTGGAGCCCCATCCTTCCTGAGCAAAGGCAAGAATGTGTGAGCCGGAGGCTAAGAAACTGCGAGCTAGCTCACGCGAACTCTGCTGAGCGGGAACACTGGCCGTGATGCCTTGGCAAGATTCCCAGGGACGGACATCCCCACCGCAGGCTCAGCGGCGTCTCGCTCTCTTTCAGATCGTGCAGTTCGGCATGAGTGACAAGCTGGGCCAGGTCTCCTTTGCCCTTCCGCAGCCGGGGGAGCTGGCCCCTGAGAAGCCCTACAGCGAAGCCACCGCGGAGCTGATCGACGAGGAAGTGCGCGCCTTGATTCACGCGGCCTACCAGAGGACCTTGGAGTTGCTGACCAGCTGCCGCGAGCAGGTGGAGAAGGTACGGAGGCAGGGCGGGCTTCTCCCACGCGACCCATTCTGTCGTCCCCCCCACCCCCGTGGGGGTCACTCGCTCACTCTGAGGTCACTCGCTCACTTACCTCCCATGCGCTAGCTAAAATGGGAGAGATTTTCTGGAGAAAAGGGGGGATTGCTGGGGGT